AGTTCGAGGGCAAGAGTGCGGTTCCACTGAAACTTTTTCAGAGGCTCCTGGGGCATATGGCATCCGCAGCCGTGGCAACACCGCTCGGATTGCTTCATATGAGACCGCTTCAGCTTTGGCTTCGCGACCGAGTCCCGAGGTGGGCATGGCAACACGGCACTCTCCGAGTACCAGTTACTCCGACCTGCCGTCAGACCTTCACCCCGTGGTCGAACCTCAGTTTTCTACGGGCCGTAGTGCCCCTGGAACGAGCTTCCCGGCATATTGTTGTAACAACAGATGCCTCTACCACGGGCTGGGTTGCCATGTGCAATGGGCGTGCTGCCGCGGGCTCCTGGACAAGACCCCACCGCTTATGGCACGTCAATTGCCTCTGGTTGCTGGCTGTACAGCTCGCCCTGCGCCGCTTCCGAGCCGTGCTCAGGGGCCAGCATGTACTAGTCCGTTCAGACAATACCGCGACCGTAGCGTACATCAACCGTCAAGGTGGTCTGCGCTCCCGCCGTATGTCGCAACTCGCCCGCCACCTCCTCTTATGGAGTCAGAAGCATCTGAGGTCGCTTCGTGCCATTTATATCCCCGGAGCCCTGAACTGTGCAGCCGACGAGCTCTCACGGCTTCAGCCCATCCCGGGAGATTGGCGACTCCATCCCCAGTCGGTTCAGCTGTTTTGGGACCAGTTCGGGGACGCACAGATAGATCTGTTTGCCCCTCACGACTCGACCCATTGCGCCCTGTATTATTCCCTGACCGAGGGCACGCTCGGCACGGATGCACTGGCGCACAACTGGCCGCGGGGATGCAAATATGCGTTTCCCCCAGTGAGCCTTCTTGCGCAATTCCTGCGCAAGGTCAGGGAGGACGAGGAGCAGGTCACTCTGGTCGCGCGGTACTGGCCCACCTGGACCTGGTTCTCCGACCTCATACTCCTCGCGACAGCACCTCCTTGGCCGATTCCCCTGAGGAAGGACCTCCTTTCTCAGGGACGGGGCACCCTATGGCACCCTCGTCCCGATCTCTGGAACCTCCACGTGTGGCTCCTGGACGGGACGAGGCAGGTTTGAGTACCCTACCACCAGCGGTGGTGGCTACCATCACTTCCGCTAGAGCGTTGTCCACGAGACACGTTTATGTGTTGAAGTGGAACCTCTTCGTCAACTGGTGCTCTTCTCACCGAGAAGACCCCCGGAGATGTTCGATCAGTGTTGTGCTTTCCTTTCTTCAAGAAGGGTTGGAGCGAAGGCTGTCTCCCTCCACCCTCAAGGTCTATGTCGCCGCCATTGCCGCACATGACCCAATAGGCTGGGCGACACCTAACACATTCGCCAGATTCTACAATCTCCGAGTGGAGCCAGTGTCCTCTCATGTACTCGCTTCAACCAACTAGTGCCGGACCCGCTCAGGTGTCTTCGCTTACTCGCCATTCCACTCCACGGACTGGATACGTGCGATATTCTCCTCAGGTGAGCTTCCCCGAAAGCCCTGAGTTCCTCCAGCACTGCTGACGCTGGCGCCAGTGTCTATTGCCTGTGCGTCGGCTAGGTGCCTTCCGTGTGCATGGTACCTCCTCTGAGCTACCCCCACATGTGTATTTCCACTGTAAGCCTCTTTGAGCATGTGTCTTTCCCTCGGCAAGCCACCTTGCCACCCCTGGGGTTAAAATATTCCACCTGCGGCTGGACACCCCAGTGATTCCCCATATGCATCCCTCGGGTCATATGTGTATTCTTAAGTCCCCCCCTCTGGGTTGGCAGTAATTGCATATTCCCCCCAAAATCTGGGATATGCTCCCCAGTGTACCTTGGTATTCCTGTGCTAAATAGGAGTCCTTCGTTCGTGCTAGTCTCACGACAGGGATCTCAGATTTACGCAGGGCACTGGAAGACAGCTGAGAATGTGGCGTGATTAGACTGGTATCCCCATCAGGGCTCCAGACTAACTTTTCCACTGGTTGCACTGGTGCTACCAACTTTCTCAGTTGGTCGCACCAGCATATGATTTGGTCGCACCTTTTTTTTTTTTGCTACATGCCATGGGATTAATCAATGCATGCTAATGAATAGTGGTTTTAATGGACCAAGGCTAGCAAAGGATTTCTGGGTAGCAGCATAAATACCTGTAATATATTATATAAAAACACATGTAATATATGATAATTATCATTTTCATGGATTTTGGACAGTAATTTTAATCTGTAATTTTAAGCATTTAACATTTGAATTATCACTAAAAAATGCTGGGTTGTTTCAACCCAAATTTGGGTCTAATATGGACAACCCCAAATGTTGGGTTAAAAATGTAATAAAACATTTTTACAGTTGAAAGTGAAAGTTGGGTTAAAATTAAACTTTTAACCCAACATTTGGGTTTGTCCATATTTGACCCAAATTTGAGTTTAAACAACCCAGCATTGTTTAGAGTGTATACAATCTATCTATTTACATTTGAATTATATTATATCTATCTATCTGTCTATATATTATCATCTTTCTATCTTTTAAAAATGATTAAACATTCAAATGTATGCATTACATTTTAAAAGATTAGATTATTATAATACGCTGATACAGATTTTCGTTATCAAAGTTTTAGTTGTAACAAAAATCAGAAATCTCACACTCCTGAACTTACCTTCTGCATTTTATAATCATTTCCTTTTCCTCTGTGGAGCGATTACTCTCATCTAACCGCTGAAAAGACGTAGGAAGGGGCTCGGTGTTTCGTGAGACCTTTTCATTTTTATATGCCTTAATTCCTGAATTCGTAATTGGCGCGTTTCACCATCAGTGTGCAATGTGCATGACGTCTACGTTCGTCAATAAATAAACTGCATGTGTCTTGCGGAAGAACATTGTAGCCGGAGCTACTTCTCTCCGTTAATGTCTATGGCGAGTCACGCAGACACTGGGCAACTCCGCAGCCGAGCCGGGCCCGGGAAAAAATAGTCAGAATATAAACACTTATTATAGGCGTACCGTAGTGATTCAGGATAAGTCAAAAACACGGTTTGGAAAATGGATTCATGATGTACTCGCTCATTTTGAACTTAAGTTACGTTACGGACTGCAGCAGCTGCTGATACAGCGGCATTCTGTTGCGCGAGCGTCCACTCACAATAATGCGACCACATACAATTTTAACTTGCACATTCTCAAAAAAACGGTTGCATATGCGACCAATTTGGTCGCAGTCTGGAACCCTGCCCATTCGTCGTCATCCGACAGAACTCGGAGTGACAACGAAAGGGAACGTCTCGGTTACGGATGTAACCCTCGTTCCCTGAGTAGGGAACGGAGACGTTCCGTCATCCTGCCACTTTCCGCTGTACCGCGGGGATCGTCTGAGCTCAGTCTTGGCTCCTCAGCGAAGAAACATGCCTTTTTGCTGCCAGCGTTCTCCTTAAATACCCACGAGGTGAGGCGAAGTTACGCTATGCAAAATCCGCAGACCCATGGCATTTCTTTGCCATTGGCTCGTTTTGTAGTACTCGAAGTCGATTGGCTTTCTAAGCGAAACCCCATTCGTCGTCATGCGACGGAACGTCTCCGTTCCCTACTCAGGGAACGAGGGTTACATCCGTAACGGAGACGTTTTGTTTGTTTTGTCATTGATGTGTGCACTTGTATATATTCTACACTGTGGATGACCGTCTCTGACACTGTAAATAAACTCCACCTTCACGAAGTGCTTTTGCGAGTGTGCATCATTTCTACATCCCTTTACAGACTCACATTTCTCCTCGAGGGCGAGCTGCTCGTCTTCATCATACCGTATATACCAAGACAAGGTTTTTGTCCTAAAAATAGGCTGAAAATGGGGGTCGTCTTATATTCAGGGTCATCTTATATTCGAGTGGAGGAATCGATTGATAACCTTTTTCTCCCGGGTTCTTGGAAAAACGAGCGCGTCGCTTTCATTATGAGCGTGCATACCGCGCATGTTTTATTAACAGCCCAGCAAGCAATATATGCAATAAAGTTCTTTGGCGTAGGCCCCGTCCATAACTCGCGATCCGAGGGTACGGATTCTGCATTTCCTGCCTGAAGATGAAGGCAGGGGCGCAGCTGACCCCCCTTAGGGTATTGGAAGGGACCATCCTGGTGGTGGTGGGAAGGATGGAGGGAAGACCGTCTTGGTGGAGGTGGGCAGGATGGTCAGCATCTGCGAACTCAGACGAGTGTAAGTATGGATCTTTTATACTTCACGTATTAGAACTCGATTGGATAGATGAGAAGGTAATAAATTACGTAACAATTAAGTCTTCCTGGCAGAATTTACGCTACGCTTTCATTAATGTAACATGCCCTGCGTGCGCGTCCGCTACGCCACTGTGAAGAGCTGTACGCCTCCAGGAACGCCATCAAGGACATTCACTGTTTTATCAAGTTTACTTTGGCCGTCCGCGTGACGTCATTATCATCATCAGGAGGATCCGCGGACGTCCACTTGCTGTTACTTGCTGTTTTATTACTGCAATACAGTGAATGACAGCCGTCTGTGTCTCCCAGTGTCTCACATTATTGTCAGTTTAGTGTTCAGTGATTCATTTACACAGAAACATAAGATAACATGTATGCCTTCATCTCCGAACACATTATCTGTGTCTTACATTTCATAATGAACTCAGATAAACTCAGTGCCGACTCGTTTCCATCAGTTCTTTTACATGAACTGGAATGTGTGCAAAGGATTGTGGGAGATTGAAGAACAGGAAGGACACACTTGATGCATCCTTCAAAATGATCTAAATTAAAGACACAAAATGAAGTCTGTCTTCAAAAGATCCTTCAAACTGAGACGGCCTTCAGAGGCGCTTGATGACGTGGCAGTCGAGATATGCAGCCTTACTAGGACACAGCCACGGTTTGAGAAACACCCGCAAATTATGATCAATATCCCAGAAATCAGTCTGTGCCCCGTGATTTAAACACCTCTGATCTCTGAGTTTCTCTTTGTTCATAATGTTTTAGACTGTAATGATTGCACTCAGTGTTACTTACCCATCCTTTCTGTATCCAATTAAGCTCCACAGGTCAAACCTCTGCAGTGTCTCCTCTGAGGACAACAACACAAACACTAAAGCTGACCACTGAGACGAGGAGAGTTTCACAGCACGTAATCCTCCATACGTATGAGGTTCAGCTTCGTTCACTAGAGAAAGATCACCCAGTTCATTCAGACAGTGAAACAGATTGATGTATTTATCTGGAGAGGGATTCTCACTGATCTTCTCTTTAATATAGTCAACTGTTTCCTCATTGTTGTGAGAGCTGTTTGCTGTCTGTGTCTTTAGTTCTTGTAAGAGACTCTGATTAGACTTCACTGACAGACCCAGAAGGAAACGAAGGAAAAGGTCCAGATGCCCATTTCTACTGTGTAAAGCCTCATCCACAGCTCTCTGATGGAGATCAGATAGGGACACTTTGCCTCCATTAGTTGGTTTGGTAATCTGGTCAAACACATTGATGTTATTGTTGATAAAGGAGAGATGCATATATAGAGCTGCTAGATGTTCCTGAATACTCAGATGAACAAAGCAGAAGACTTTCCCCTGACACAAGCCCAACTCCTCTCTGAAGATCTGAGTGCACAATCCTGAGTAAACTGATGCTTCTGCCACATCAATGCCACACTCGCTCAGGTCTTCCTCATAGAAGATCAGGTTGCCTTTCACAAGCTGCCGATACGCCAGTTCCCCCAGTTTGACAATCATGTCTTCATCTTTCACTTTCTTCTCATAGTCCTTCTCATGTCTGATGTTGGTCTGAATGAGCAGGAAGTGTGTGTACATCTGAGTGAGAGTCTTGGGAATCTCTCCTCTCTCTGCTCCACTGCACATCTCCTCTAGAACAGTGGCTGAGATCCAGCAGAACACTGGGATGTGGCACATAATAAAGAGGCTCCTTGAGGACTTCAGGTGTGAGATGATCCTGTCGGCCAGACTCTGATCACTGATTCTCTTCCTGAAGTATTCCTGCTTCTGTGTGTCACTGAAGCCTCGTACCTCTGTCACTCGATGGACACACTCAGAGGGGACGAGATCCGCTGCTGCTGGTCTGGAGGTGATCCAGATGAGAGACGAGGGAAGCAGATTCCCCACAATGAGGTTCGTCAGCAGCTCGTCCACTGAGGCGGATTCAGTCACATCACACAACCTCACATCGCTCTGAAAATCCAGACACAGACGACACTCATCCAGACCATCAAAGATGAACAGCACTTTATATTTATCACTGGATATGGCCATTTCTCTGCTTTCAGGGAAGAAGCGATGAAGAAGATCTGAGAGACTGAGTGTTTTGTCCTTCATCAAGTTGAGCTCTCTGAAAGCGAGTGGGAATATGAGCTGGACGTCCTGATTCTCTTTCCCTTCAGCCCAGTCCAGGATGAGCTTCTGCACAGAGACTGTTTTCCCAATGCCAGCGACTCCCTTTGTCAGCACAGTTCTGATGGGTTTGTCTTGTCCAGGTAAAGGTCTAAAGATGTCACTGCATTTGATCGGTGTGTCCTCTGTTTCTGCTCTCCTGGACTGTGTCTCAATCTGTCTCACCTCATGCTCATTATTGATCTCTCCACTTCCACTCTCTGTGATGTAGAGCTCTGTGTAGATCTCATTCAGGAGTGTTGGGTTTCCCTGCTTTGATATTCCCTCACACACACACTCAAACTTCTGTCTCAGATTTGATCTCAATGTGTTGAGGACTTCAGCAGGTTTAGAGTCATGGCTGTAAGATTAAAATACACATTATTACACAAGTCAGAGAAGTAAATAGCCATACATTACACAATATATTATTTATTTGCTGTATTATAGGACACAGAACATCATTAGCGTTCTGAAATGTTTAAATCATTAATCATGTGTCTGAGTGATGTGTGATGTGAATAGAAACACCTAAAATTAAACAACAACAACAAAAGTCCTGCATTTTACCTGAAACCAGGACACATGCTTTCATTAAAGTCTTGTGGTTGAATCACAGGCTTGAACACAGTTTTGTTTTTAACTGGTCTGGATGGAAGATTTGACCTTAAATCAGAATGAAGAGTGTAAAGAATCAGACACACTGATATTGATGTAATTGTGTCATTAACTGAGTAACAGACCAACAGCTTTTACAGTGTGTGAATGTGTTAACAATACAATACATAGAGCTTTACACAAGAGCACAATGATCATCATTAATAGATTAAAACTTACAGGATTGTAACTCATTAAACTGCAGTGTATTAACAATTTCATAAAATATAAAATACTATAAGCATAACATAGAAATGATATACCTGAGATCAGACTGTGTGTCTCCACTCTTAAACTTCATTGGCTTCTCCATAGAGCAGTCACTCTTCACAGACACACAGCTGGACTCTGGGTTTGAGCTCTTCTGCTGGACTGAACTGGTTTTCAAACTAAGTAAAATAAAAAGCAGACAGACTTATAAATGTTGTGCACTTTTACAGTAATCTTCTGTCTTCAGAAAGACCAGGGAGTGTTGTTACACTTTTGCGTCTGTATCTCAGTGTGTTTTGCAAATGTTTTGTCTTGGTGTGAAACAGCACTGTGTAGCTTTCAGCAAACCAAACAAACTTCAACAAACTTTCTGAACCAGCGGTTACAAAAATCTGCTCAATTTTACACCCACTCCATTATATAAAGGTGGAGAAACCTCAGCTTACATTTACTTGATGTCATATTAGACTGACTGACTGATAAATGTTGCTTTTAACTATAACTCTTATAGAAATGATAGTGGAGAGCAGGGCACAACCTGAAACTTTTACATTTTTTCAGTTTGTGTAAATCCCCTTGGGGTTCAGAGTATTTATTTTCCCCATTAATTTCACACATGTCTAGTACAATTATGTGGTTTTGTTTCATTAATTCAGTGTGTACTTTTTTCTTTATTTCCCCTGAAAGAATGGAAGTGAAATGTGACAACATGCCCCATCGAGGCACATCATAACACGACCATATTATATAACTGATTAAAATGTTATTGTTGTCAATAAAATAAAAATTATTAACTTCTTCGTATAAAAGAATGGCTGTTGTATATTCATAATAATTTCATAAAATATCAAAAACTATAAGCATAACACAGAAATGATATACCTGAGATCAGGCCGTGTGTCTCCACTCTTAAACCTCATTGGATGATCCATAGAGCAGTCACTCTTCACAGACACACAGCTGGACTCTGGGTTTGAGCTCTTCTGCTGGACTGAACTGGAACACAGAACAGATTCAGTTTAATCCTTTAGATTACTGTGTTCATTTTTATCTTTCTTTATGAGAGGAACCATATTAATATAGATCCATATTCAGAGGCGAACAGAGTACACAGCTTCATTACTTGAGTAAAAGTACAGATAGCCCTTGCTAAATTTGACTCAAGTACAAGTAAAAGTACTACAGTCAGATGTAAAAGTACTGAAGTACTTGTTTTTAAAAGTACTTGACTATCAAGAGTACAAGAGTACATTTTCTAAATATTGCATTACTACTGCCACAGTGCTTACATTTATGTACAGAAACGTCCTACATGGAGTTATGAAAAATGTTAATGTTAATACTAGTGCTGGGCAACGATTAAAAAATTTAATCGCGATTAATCCCGTTGTTACGCGCAAAATTGAATAATGAATTCTAAAGTAGTGTATTGCGCACTTTTGATTTAAATGTACTGCTACAAAAGTGCAATAACATGTGGTTTGCAAAAACTTTAAAGGGGTCATATAATGCCATTTTTGTACAAGCTAATATGATTCTTTAGGGTCTAAATTAAAAGTTTGTAATATACTTTAATTAAAAATTCTCATTAGTATTGCAAGAAAACACTTATTTTACCTGGTCAAAAACAGCTCTGTTTTCAGCACGCCGTTTCAGTGCATATGACTTTAAATGATCATGAGCTTTGCTGACTCCGCCTCTCTGTTCTATGCGTCACCAGAGCCGGCTCTGGCGTACACAGTTTGTAACACAATAACACATAACCATAACGCGTTGTTCAGTATAAACGTGGGATTATGCATTATATTGAGAACGTCATACATAGAAAACATGCCATAATGTACCCTGAGTGTAAACCTTAGACGCATTCATTATGAAGCATGCAGCTAGCGATTTACAAGGATTAATATAAAGTTTAATAAAACGTTACACTCACTTCAGTTCTTTTGGAGGTTCAGCAGGAACACGAATATCTGCTACCGATCCTTTCTTCAGGAGCTGCTTCTTAGCAAAACCAGCTTTATACTGATCCTCGTTTATAAAGCAGTCTGGTGTGAGAAATGATTCGCGCAAACATGAGCATTGACGTTGCTCGTGGGGAATATTCCCTTCGAAAACAAACTCAGCCACTGCGTCTTCAGCGGTTCGGATTTAGGAACATTAAAATGACTGCTGTGTTCGTTATTACACCCAAGAACAGAACACCACAATCGCTTAGACTGCTAAGCCATTCTGCTCATAGACAGTGCTCCAGCATATCAACAATGACCGCGCCGGTCCGCGCTGACTATGATTGACAGCTAGCGAGGGCGGGTCTGTGTTGAAACGCGGCTGTCGCGGCTGTCAATCAACAATCGTGGGAGGGGCGTCCGTTTTATTTACGTCACAAAAACGAACGGCTCAATTTAAGACAGGGGAAAACATATAAGGAGATTAAAACAAAACCACTGGATGGATTTTTATCATTATATGATGGTTGTGTACAGACACTGCCAACACACATTTCAGTACAATCAACTTGTAAAAGTGCATGTACCATTATATGACCCCTTTAAACAAATAAGGTGCTTTAATACCAGCAGTATTCCCTTTACACAGTATCAATAAAATATTTCTTGTAAATCTCAACTTAAACATTAATGTAATCAAATCAAATATTTAAACAAAGCTATTTGCCACTGCCAGGGCATTACCTTTTATCTAGCTTGTTAAAAGAGTCCAGTTTTCTTTTTCTTTTTCTGAACAGGTATCTTGTATCAGGGAGCAGCAGAAACAGTCTATGTAGTCAAAGGGTCATGATCACTACTACAGATATAAGTCGACCAACGTTACTTCTCTGATAGCAGCTTAGGTTTGGTCATGGCATGCCATGGTTTCCCACGTAAGATTACATTAAACAGAGGTAAAGCCCAATTTATACTTCTGCGTCGAACTCACGCCGTAGCTGTGTAGCGCGCGTACCTTGACGTGCATCTCTCCAAAAATGTAACGTCAATTCTACGCGTACAACAAGCGCTGTGATTGCTAGAACCGCTTCCCAGGTTTCACACTCTCCCTCTGCATGTGTAATTGCGCGTCAACGCGGACAACGACGCAGATATAAATGAAAACCAATGCGTTGCCGAAGTTGAATTGTCTAACTTTTTTGTACACGACGCGCAGCACAAATCATTGGAAGAGAGGCTGATCCTCGGCTCGCTGTTTGTGAGTTTCCAGAATCTAAATAGTTATCAGGACATCAACAGGAGGGAATTCACATGGCAGAGCATCCCCGCTAAACTAAACGCAGGCCTATCAGGTAAAGTTATGTATAATTTTAATTTAAGTTAAAAAGGCTACAGTTGCATAGCGCACAGAAGCCGTTGCATGACTATCCATAGAGCGCCTGTCATTCACTCGCGGAGCGCTGTCTCCCTTTCTGTTCACCTGAGAGAACCTGCCAAAGCCTCTCCACTGCTTGTTTGGGTGGGTTATTTGCTGGCTGACCAACATCCCACCCCTCCTCTGATCATGGTTTGACTGTAGGCCTATGTGTATTCAGAGCCAGTGAGCAACGAACTTTCAAAAAAAAAAGAAAAAAAAACTGCGTTAACGCGCGATAAAAAAAAATGTCGGCATTAATTAATAAATGTGACCCGTTACAGGAACCAGGGACACAAGTCGGCAGCACAACTTGCGAGCAAAATGAGAAACAAGCGTTTTTTTTCAAAATTTGTGATTTCCGCTTTTTTGCAGAATCTGTTAGTTGAGATCATGAAGAAGCCTCTCCATGTTTGAGATAACAGTATTGGTATATTTAAAAGCGTACATTTTGAGGTTGAAATCGGCTTGTTTTTCTGGGATTCTAGCATGCAGTAGGGGCGTGTCTGTTGTCTGTGTGTATTTGCATACTGAATAGCCGCCCGCGCCTTTGCCCCCGCCCCCCAACAGCATGGCTACTTATTATGCAGCGCTCTGCTCCTGCTCTATCTCTGATATCAAAATTCAATGAAGATGGACGCCGCAAAGATGGTCGCAGACGAGCTGAACCGTGGCCGTTACAACGAAAATGTTTTGAAGTACTTCTTCGACAAGCCGGATGCTTATGAACACGCGTTCACTGATTCTGAAGACGATCTGAGCGACGATGAAAGTGGCATGATACGACTGAATAATATCCCTAATCTACAACTGAGCGAAGATGAAGACGAGGAAGAATGTATCGGACTGGCGTCAGACGAGTTAGACCGTAAGATATCAGAGGCTATATCGATAGTAACATTTGATGAGGATATAGATAGAGAAATGGGGAAAATCCGTAACTTTGACTGTAAATGTTACACGAGGAGAAAAGAGAACTCTCTGCATGGGAGACAGTCTTGTAGCCAGAAGCTTTCTCCAGACATTATGTACAACATACGGCTGGATTCTTTAGCTGCGGAAAAAGAGTGGCAGGACATGCGAATTATTGGACATTTAGAGGCAAACAGACGCACATTGCAAACTTCGGAGATGGTTACATCTACAAAGAAGACCCAGACAAAGAGAAAGTGTGCCCGAACGACTTATTTCATTGGAGGCAACGAGATCTGCAAGAATACTTTTCTGTTTCTTATGGGGTGAGTTTCCATAAACATCAAAGTTTGTCGTTTTTTGTTCATTCTAAGAACACGTACACGTTATCTCATGTTTAGTCCATGTTTAGACCTTCCAATACCTACCTATTGTTTTTAGCTAGCTCAGGACTGTTGTTTTAATTGTAACGTTAGCTGCTAATCGTTAGCATCATATCACTTGCCAAAACCCCCATTAGGCCTACTATAATGAGCTTTAAGATGATAATGTGAGCTTCTGCTATTAATTTGAATAATGCTTCAATTGCTTGAATTGACTGGTGTTAATGACTTAACTTAGCCCACGTAAACCTGCCTGTTAGCATTCTTGAATTGATTGTGATGCTAATAATTTTAGCCAGTGGTGGAGGAAGTACTACTTAATATTCTTACCAAGGATTTACTAACGTAATCGTAAATGTATCAGATTAAATTCCTACTTAAGTAAAAGTATAAAGTATACGTAGCCGTAAAATGTGCGTAATAAGTCAAAAGTAAAAGTATTTATGAAGAGTTTAATGTACAGGATTTTTTTAATCCTTTGACTCAAACCAGGTCTAACCACTAACTGAGGTCTAAACCAGGACTAAAACAAGACTAAACCAGGAAGTACAGATACAAACTCTAAAGTAAGTAAAAGTAAAAAGTATTCATCATAAAATTTACTTCAGTAAAGTAAAAGTACCTATAATGTGTACAATACATTTTGATATAGGTGACAAGATGCCTGTTAGCAAGACCATGATGTTTAACGTCTTTTTCTCCCCCCCAGCATTGGCAGAGACACCCTGGCTGATATAGTCAAACACTATGAGGAGAATGGGGCAAGACCACGTTTGAGGAAGAAGCACTCACTGCCACGTCCACCAGCCAGGTTCATCAGCCCTGAGGATATCAACAGAGTTGTGGACTTCATAAAAAACTATGCAGAAGACAATGCCATCATGCTGCCTGGCCGACAGCCTGGGCATAAGGATTGGCATGTGAAGTTGCTGCCAACTCATGTGTCCAAGGCCTCAGTGTGGCGTCTCTACGTGAAGTCTGCTAAGGAGCTTGGTATGTGTAAACATTGATTTAGAATTGAGTGCTTATAAAGTGAAATAATGTTATTTATTATTGCTACACTATTAGCAATTACAATACAATTAACCATAAGCAATATCTGTTTTTCAGGTGAGCGTGCAGTTTGTAAAACCAGCTTCAAAGCACTGTGGAACCGACTTCTCCCACACATCAAAAGTTGCCGGCCGCGCACAGATCTCTGCTGGCAGTGCCAAAGCAATAACGAGCAGCTGATACGAAGTGCAAACCTCCCAGATGATAGAAAGTCTGAAGCAGTAAAGAAGCAACAAGATCATCTTTCCCTTGTGCAGAAAGAGAGGGCTGTGTACAACGACATGACTGCTGCCTGCAGAAAGACTTGCTCTGGCTCTGACCTGTCTTTTGGACCATCCCTACCAGCAAGCAAGAAGATTAGGATGCATTACAGTTTTGATTTTGCTCAGCAGGTAATATTTCACACACATTTACTTCCCTTTACTTTATTAATGTCCCTTAAAGGGCGATTTGGTGCATGAGAATAAATAGTGCAAATGCAGAATAGCATCAATATAGTAAGTTTTATCTTTATTAGACAGTTATGAACAGATGCAAATTTAATTTAATCTAATCCAAGTTCCCTCTCTCCCTCTGTCTCCTACAGTTACACTTTCCCTCAAACCCTCTCCAGCCAGGACCAATGTACTTCCTGACCCCACGGAAATGTGGCCTATTTGGTGTTTCATGTGAAGGGCTGCAGAAACAGGTGAATTACCTGATTGATGAAGGCATGTCATCTACTAAGGGAAGCAATGAAGTCATCAGCTACATGCATCATTTCTTCGGCAACTTTGGAGTTGGAGAAACAGAGGTGGATCTTCATTGTGACAACTGCAGTGGGCAGAACAAGAACAACTTCATGCTCTGGTACCTTGCCTGGCGGGTTGGACACAAGCTTCACGATAAAATTGAAATCCACTTCCTTATTGCTGGCCACACCAAGTTTTCCCCTGACTGTGGCTTTGGACTCATCAAGCAAGCCTACATGAAGACAAGAGTCAACACTTTGGCAGACATCGCTGAGGTACTTTAACTTTACTTTGCTTTAATGACTTCAGTGCTGTTTTCTGTTCTGCTTCAATGAAACATTTAACTGAAGATCTTTTTTTTCTTCCTCTCTTCTCTTTTTTGTCATCAGGTTGTGGAAAACAGCTCTCCTGTGAGTCACCTCAATATCCCACAGCTTGTTGGAACGGCAGAGGGAAAAGTTTTAGTCCAGACCTTCGACTGGCAGCAGCATCTGACTCGCCACTTCCGTAGACTCCCACAGGTCAAGAGTTATCAGCACTTCAGGTAATTGAAACTTTCACATTGTGTACATACAATATAACATAGCAACAAGATACACATGACCGTTTTTTATAAGAAAATACTTTGCCATGTTTAAAATGTCTTATGTGCTTTTTCTGTCACAGCTTTGACGCCAAGAGACCAGGTGTGGTGCTTGCAAAAAGTCACCGTGATGCACAACCTGTCGAATATCAGCTACTGCGCGACGGAGCAGATCTGCCCCCTGTCGACGGTCTTCCTGTCCTGGCCCCACCTGGACTGAAAATTGACAGGCAGACCTATCTATATGAAAAAATAAGGCCATTCTGTGCTGACGAGGCAAGAGACATCACATGCCCAGCGCCAAGGTTCACAACACAGAAGAGTCCACAGAAGAGGATGCGAATGTAATTTCATTGGACTGTGTCACAAAGACCTTTTTTCTTGTTTACAACACCTGCAATGTCACTTTATCAACCAACCACCTGAATTTAGTTTTACATTCTTGTATGAAAAGCACTCTAAACAATGTGTGATTGATTTGATTATGGAAAATAAAAAAAGAATATATCAATCAACCAGTTTATTGCTTATTTTTTATCATTAGCAAAAGTTTGTGTTTCATGTTGCATGAGTACACCGAAGAAAATTCCTAGTCTCTAAAACCTTTCATTGACAATGGCAATAAAATCTATTCTGATTCATACTCCTATACTGTATGTATATAATTTATTAAAATGTTTAAGAAAAATATTGTCCTATGAAATGTATTTTATTCAGAAAATTTATGTTTCTTTTTATGATTTAATCCAAATATATTATCAAAAACGGTTGTAATCAAATGAAAATGTAAAATTGTGTCCTTTTATTTTTTTGGGGAAGCGCTGCAAAAACAGATGAACTAAATTAAACCATGGACAAAAAATATATTCCTTTAAATAATGTTTAAATAAAATGTATTATTATTGTTGTTATTATTATTATTTAGAGAAGTAGGCTACGTTCTATTGTATGCCTATAATAGTAATATATTGTAAAAGTAAAAGCACAACATATTTCTTAACATTCTAGAGTTTATCTTATTTTTTATTCAGTGTACATAAGAGTTGCCTATACAGTTTTATCGGTAGATGCTAAGAGACATTTATTTATTACCTGTTTGCAAACTTTTTCTTTTCTTTGATGGCACATTATCCTGACCCCCCCACCCCCCCCCCCCCCCCCCCCCCCCCTGTGCTTTACAGGGAGAGCTTTACAGGGGGTATGGCTTATCTAAATGAGATGTAAATGAGCCCTATTGTCACTCCCAGCAGCAGAGAGAGGTGAGAACTGCACATCTTTCGAGGCGGTTTTCTCCACTTTTAGTTTTTTTGAGTGCCTAACTTCAAATGGCTACAACTTCTCCAAATATTATCAGATTTCCATGTGTTACACATCGTTGGAAAGCTTGGAGACCACACTTTCAGAATCTGTGAATAACTCAAAATGCCCCAGAACCGACTTGTGTCCCTAGTTTCCGTAACTGGTCACAAATGCGTTAACGCGATAATAACGCGTTAACTTGCCCAGCACTAGTTAATACCTTGGAGAATGTAAAAGGAATTGAAATTAAAATCAAGTCATTTTCATCTTTTTACCATGTTGCTTTAATCCGCAAGTTGGAGGATGAATTTTTGTAGGCAGTGATGAAGTTCTGTTTTGGTAAACACAGCAAACACTTGAAGCGAAAACTATCATTAACTTGTTCAGAAAATTGAAATAGTCTGGCGAGGTGGGGCCACGGGTTGGCACATTCCCGGGATGGACCTGCTGCGTCTTCATCCATGGTTTCGTCCATGTTTTCGTCTCTTATCTAAATCTGACCATGGAGTTGACTTTGGCGGAAAGCTGAAGGTGATTGCTGATAGGCAAGGGCGTAGATTTGGTTTGAACATTGGGGGGGTTGAAGTTTGGGTATGCCTCCTGATATTGTGATCATGGTATAAATAATGGGGGGGTCGTAATGCATAGATTTAAATATTGGGGGGGTTATATCCCCCCCATAAATTACGCCCATGCTGATAGGCTGTCCCAATCAGTGGCGCCTGCACAATCCAATCACGTTTGAGAGGGAAACAACAAATTGAGGGTTTCCGAGATTTTTCTTTTTTCCTTTTTTTTTTAGAAGTAACGGGTACTCACGGTTATGGATAGAAATGTAGCGGAGTAAAGAGTACAATATTTGCCTCTCAAATGTACTTGAGTAAAGTCATGAGTAATCCCCAAAAATGATACTCGAGTAAAGTATACAGATCCCTCAAAATTGTACTCAAGTACTGTACTCAAGTAAATGTACTCCGTTACTGTCCGGCTCTGACCATATTAATATAAACATTCATCTTTTCATTCATTTTCTGTTATGTAACACAGTATTTAACAGTGTTTGTTGAAAGTACCTGCGTCCTGGAGAGAAATCTCCATCTCTGGATGCTTGTGAATCAGCCATGATGAAGATGCAGGAGAATCTGATGAGTTTGATCTCCTCCACTGACTCTGATGAAGAAACATTCACACACTACATTAAATGATTAAATGAAACATCATTCATAATTTAGCTGAACATGTCTGGAGTGTGTGAGAAAAAGGATCATGTGACTGCGTTAACTCAAATTCATTGGGCCTTTACACACACACACACACACACACACACACAAGTCGGCCGTTGGATTTAGACTTTATGAAAAATAACGGACACCGAGAAACGCTGAACATGTTCGGGTGAAAGAAAACAAACCCAGACCCGCCTCGACAGACTCTGATCCGCCTCGACAGACTCTGATCCGATATAAAAAACGTGTTTGTTGGCGTTAATTGTGTGAATTGGCCTATGAATGTTTACACACATGCTGTTAAACTTCTGAAGAATCACAAACATCACGAAACACAGAGGAACCACTGAAATGAAAGAAACCCTTTATGAAAGGTTTCACATTAAACAATCACGTAAAATGTCCTCCAGAGATTCATATTAATATGAGGAAGTCACACATGAACACTCACCTTGATCAAACTTTTACAAGATACAGGATCTCAAATCCTCCAGCTTTAACATCATAAAACTACACGGAAATTCATTCTTAGGCGTAGATAAACATTTTGATGCTGTTTTTCCGTTTTCCTTAAAATGGCGACAGGAGAACTAACTTTCACTTTCTATTTGTTGGACGGAGAGAGAGAGAGAGAGAGAGAGACGTAAACGGAGACGCGCGTTCAAGAGAGCACCACGGCGCATGCGTGTGAGAGCAGACTTGTTGCGTGAACGCGCGATGGAGATTAATATTTTGTAAATGAAGTGGTACATCTTTGTCACATTCACGTCTTTTTCAGATTGTTTTTTATCTGTTTTATTTTTTAAATTCTATTTCATTTTTCTCTCTTCTCTTCAGTTTGTTAATTTATTCTTATAGTTTTTTGTTTGTTCATCTTTTTTTCTTCATTATTTCTGTTTTGTTTATTCTTTTGATTCTCTTTTTATTTGTTCATCCTTGCCTTCAGTTGTTCAGTTTTGCCTTTTATTTATCTTTCTGCAAACGCAGAGTTCCTGACTTTGTTTGATCACATCTGTATGATATGAAATAAGTTTGTCATCATCCATCATCATTTATAATTATATTTAGTCATTTAGTGGATTATTTTTTCAAAAGCGATCTACAAATGTGGAACAATGCAATGTGACATAAACCTGAAAGAATCAGATCAATTAAAACCACACTGTAAAAAAATACTGTTTTGTAAACTTTATAACAGTTTAATGGTTTAATTCATTGTTCCTGCACTGATAACTTTATTGCACTTTTAATTTAATAACTGAAATGGTCAAAAGTCATTAAGAGGAAAGGACAGAAATGATTGAGGAATATTAATGAATAATCGTGCTGTTGTAAAGTGATGTCTTCTGTTGGCTCTCGATACGGTTCACTCGTACTGCGTCACTAGAAGCAAAACTCCTGTTTCCTCTGATCACTGAAGCCTTATAGAATCACACAGAGAGAAACATGTTCCAGCGCTTTACACACAATAGCAGTTGAGTCTCCTAACAATATAGATCGTTTCACAGCGGCTTTACAGTGATAATAGGAGATTACAGTAACAGATTTAGTTGGTTTTACAGCAGCTCTAGAATAAAGTTATTGTCCAGCTAAAGTTAGTTTAGATTGATTCGCTTCCGTTGCAGAGATCATTAGTTATTCGCTCAATATGGCGGCCGCTGGCGTTGGACTGGAGTGTGTGGGCCAGTTCTTCCGGTGAACACTTCCGGTGATCTGACAGCGAGAGCGGGAGACGACAGCGGCGAGTTCATTACCAGAGAGATCATTTTCACAATGAGTGTTTTTAGGACTCAAGAGAGGCGACTGCCTTTCAGAGGGAGACGGCCTCAGCACTGCATTGTTGTGTGCCGTTATCTACCGTTTCCTCACGTTACAACAAAGAAGTCAGCTTTCATGCACTCCCCGTTGTATTATGAACATGATTAAAGAAAGATAATACTAAAAAATAACATTAAACAATAAAATTTCAGTCTTCATAAGTAGTGTTAACATAAACCATGTGTCAAAAAAGGTGTTTTATGACTTTGATTTATGGTTCTGCGGTTCCCCTGTCTCTGATTTATGATGGGTCGCTGACAGGCTCCGGTATGTCTAGGATGTGCGACGCCACGTGACATCATCCGTGCCGATGTCCGGGGACTTTTAAAAAACAAACAAACAGATCAAACAGATGTTAAATTTTTGACTGGTTTTTACGACTGGGTTACTGAACTCACACCTCGCAACTTGCCATTGTAGTTTTTTATGGTATGAGGTGTGCCTTTTTCACAACTACGTCACTACCTACGTCTTTTGTTGCAGTTTTAAATAAGGTTAGGGGTTACACTGTTGAACACAGAAGACATTCTACGACTTTCCTGATACAATGGCTACTCCGAGAACTCCTAAAACCCCTAGAAAGGTTATGTGTATTTCGCCGACAAGAGGACCTGTTGAAATGAGAGAAGATCTAACTTTTGCTCCAAGGAAAAAGCTAAATGTTAGCTTGACAAGATTTCTTCATGAAGACAGTGCTCTTGTGAAACAGGATTTCTCAATGTCTGGTGGTCGTGTGGTGAGGTATGTGTTTGACAAGGTGATGCGTACTGTGAAACTCTACACAACAGATGTTGAAGACGATTTTACATCACAGACCCCATGTGTGATTTTCCACAAGAAGGACTGGTTTCTGTTTTTCAACTACGTTTGGAGAGATTTGAACGACTGTGGTGATGATCCGTTGTACGTAGCCGAGTGGGATGGCTCAATTCCTGACACAAGATTTCGTGTGGTCGGGGACCATAGTAAAAAGTTACCAGACGATTGTGTTTATATTTTCTGCTGCAACGACAAGACAAAGCTCTGCGAACGTGCGTGGCCTGTTCGTGAATCTGAGCATCACTTGTGCTACGACATGAAATTTTTGTTTCAGTGGAAAGATGTTCGTGCGCTTGACAACATATTTACATGCATTGACAAGATGTTTAGATGGTGTGACATGTATGACCGTTACAGTTCTGTAAAGATTAAATTGTTTCACCCTGAGCAGGGCGTTACCAACGCTGAAGACCGCCTCTTAACCCCACCCACGTATTACAGCCATTAAAAACGCCTGCAGATCGGTACAATTGCTACATTCATACACAATGTCTCAAGAATCTACAACCGTCTACTGCTACACCAACAACCCTGAGGCTCCCCCAGCGATGCCTGATGACAATGCTACGCCGCTGGAGCCCCACCCACAAACTTGCGACAACAGTTGGTTGGATAAATTTTGCATGGATCTTGGATATCACAACATGACCTTCCTTACAACACCATACGGCAACACTGGTGCAATAGCTGGAGCTGCTGCCCTTGCTGGAATCGACAACACAGACAGTTGTATCCGCTCGGACGGATTCAAAATCATAAAGGCGACTGTTGTGGTCCTTCTGGAACACGTCATCAACAAAAAGCTGAAAGAAATCTGTTTGGGTTGTGAAGTGGATCACCCAAGTCAGATTAGACATTCCTGCCTGTTTGAACCGGGTCCCTATTTCTTTGACGCCTACTTTGAGGAACTGACACGTAATCTGGTGAAACCGGACCTTAAGCACATCGTTGCTCAAGCATTGAGCCGTTGTGGTTTAAGGGTTCACCCCCAGAGGATTCAAGGTTCAGTGGAGGCTATTTTACATGAACTGCGTGACGAAGTTTTCATTGTGGAAAAGCTTCGTGAAGTCAGAGAGAAAGTTGTGGACGTCAGCAGCGAACAAATTGTCTATGACGCTGTGGACAGCTGGAAAGGTATTGTCCAAGTTGAGTGACTGTAACACCGACATGGGGAATACGTGTTTTGCAACAGGTCTGGCAAAGTGTCTACTTAAACAACGTATTAGATGTGAGATGACCGGCTTGTTGTATAAGATTATTAATGAATGTGCCAATGTATCTGATACTGTAAACAGATGTGCTGTAGATACCAATCGTTTTACAAACCTCATGAAACAAATGTCTGTTGTAAGAACTGTGTCAAATGAATGGACAGATTTGATGCGTTTATGCGTTAATGCTGGTGAACCAATTTGTGTGACTATCAGAAAGATTTTAGACCTGATGACTGAATGCGGCAGCTGTATTAGAATAGCTGATATATTGTGCTTGTGTACATATGTGACTGATCTATGTGTAGACATATTGACAAGAAACAATCAGGCTGATGTTTGTGATATTATTGAAACCCTGGTTGATTACATTCTTGAAAAAAACATTGTGATGTGTATACATTTTTTACACTACATTGATGCTGTATGATACCTTTGTTTCCTTTTACTGTTTAAGAAATAAAAACCCAAATTACTTAAACCATCTGTGTTATTCTTTTTGTGGAGCGTGAAGTGGAAACATGTCAGAAGAAATGAAAAAGACTTATTACACACCTTCTAACCCTGGTTCTTTAGGGGGGAAAAAACGCTTAAAAGAAGCTGTTTTAAAAGAAACGGGTGTTCGTTTAACCGATAAAGAGGTTTCAGACTGGCTCGCTGGCGAGGATGCATATACACTACACAGAACGGCCCCACTAAAATACAAAAGGAATCGGGTTTTTGTCTACGGTATCGACATGGAGTTCCAGGCCGATCTAGTCGATATGTCTGCATATGCCTCGGTAAATGACAACAACCATTTTTTGCTGACATGCATCGATCTCTTTAGTAAATATGCATGGACAAGGGCTTTAAAAAAAAAGAGTGGTGTAGAGGTCTCTAAAGCTTTTGAATCCATACTGAAAGAGGGACGCGTACCACAGAAATTACAGACAGATAAAGGAAAGGAGTTTTTTAACAAACATTTTCAAAACGTAACAAAAAAGTACAATATAGCCCATTTCGCAACAGCCACAGAATTAAAGGCATGTGTTGTCGAGCGGTTTAATAGAACCTTAAAAGGTAGAATGTGGAGATATTTAACTGCTACAAACTCCAAACGTTACATCGACATACTTCAAGACATTACACAAGGATATAATGCGAGCCATCACAGAAGCATCAAGATGAGGCCGATTGATGTGGGGAAAGAAAACGAGTCTGTGGTGCTGCATAACCTATATGGTGATACCAGATCTCATAGTGTTAACCCCGTATTTAAATACAAGATTGGTGACGTGGTTCGAATTTCTAAAGTCAGAGGACCGTTTGCAAAGGGGTATGAGGAAAACTACACACAAGAGTATTTTACTATATCAGCGTGTATCCCACGAGAACCCCCTGTTTACAGATTGAGTGATTACGACGGGGATGTTATCGACGGCGTTTTTTATGCGGAAGAATTGCAAAAAATATTTGTCAGTAAAAACAAGACATTTAAAGTTGAAAAAAATTTAGATAAGAAGACAAAGGGTCGCAAAACATTAGTGCTGGTGCAGTGGCTCGGATGGCCAGCGAAGTTTGCATCATGGATCGACCAGAAAGAATTAGTTGATGTACAGAAGCCATAAATACAAACCACAAACACAGGATGCATACAGTTGTATAAAAACCAGACATGGCTGAGGGTGGATTTTATGTCACACTACCCTGCAACGCTTCGCAGTCTGTATA